AAGGATCACTTCCAAAGAGGACTATAACCAAAAGATATCCACATGCTCAAATCTGTGAGGCAGATCCAAAATGTGTAATAAATCAGTCATGTGACATTGCAACTCCATGAGGCAAGAATTTAATAAATTTAATTAGAACATCGTTCTGTAGGACAGAAATACTTGTATTTAGGATATGAGGTACAGTTACAACCTAGGCAGCTGTTGACCTATTATCAAATTGTTAGCTGTTTGATCTCTTATCAAACATGGAAGGCTTTCAAAAAACCCTTCAAGAAACATTACTTGAACTGAAGGCAAAATTGAGTAAAATACCTTGGTAAACTTGCACAGCAGCTGAGGGCTTTATTTCCTTGCCAACAGAATTGATTTGCCAGATGAGAGAAATGGGAACATGCATGCCTGGAAGTTATGTCTGATCTTTTCTTCTAGCCTGATCTTCTTCATCTGCAAGATAGACTTGTTCCATTAGGACTTCATTAATACTTTGTGCATAATATTAGAGGGCAAATTATTAATTCAATGTGAGGGCAAGTAGCACAAGTACTTGTTAGATTTCCAAAAATCTGTCTGAAGGGGAGATAAGGGAGATAAGAATCGCTTGTGCTGAAAGCACATCTATGGAGCAGGATGTTTCCAGCATGGTCCCAACATTAAGCTTCTGTGGTTTTAAAAATATTTTTCTGAATCACTGAGGCACTGAAAACAGGGAGTTGGTACTGAAATGTGCTGCTGGCACAGGCTTGTGAAAGTTTAAATGATCACATGGAAATACTGTATTGTGTGAGGGACCACCAGCAGTAATAGAAGTAACAGGAAGGTTAACACTACAGAAAGCAAGGCTGGATGCCAAGTAGCACAAAACACTTAATTAGTTGTGTTTCTCTTACAAGCTGAAGGCCCACATTTGGAAGCAATAGCAGAGGATAACTATTGGATGAGTTAGTAAGGTGCAAGAACCTTGGGTGAAATTTGGCCCTGACAACAGCAATTATGAATCCTCTGTCTACCAGTTGAGAGGCTGGGAAACACCACTTCCTTATCCAGAAGCCTGGTGATCGCCTAGAACTGTTTCTAGGGTAGCCAATGCAGTGAAAAGTGTATCTAATGAGCTCTTACTGGGTTTAGACTATGGGCATGAGGCTGTTGGGGAGTGCTGAGTGTTTGCTGTCAGTGTGTTGGAGCCATGGCAGGAGGGGAGAAAAACTGTTTCAGGGTAATGTTAGCTCAAAGATACATGGTGCATGGACTGACTGTGACAAGCTTAATGTTGGAAATTAGTATTCCTCCTCGTGAGCAAGGAGGGAAGTTTGATGGCAAGGATCCAAACTGTTTCTGAAATGGATGGTTTTATGAGAAGGAGCCTATAAAGTCATCACTGTAGTAGCTAGGAGCCAGGTTCTGTAATCCCAGGGTTCCTTGAGTTTCTAAAAGTGATTGCAGGAATTTGGTGTGGAGCATGCTTGGTGTCATATGAGGAAGGAGCAGATGTATCCTCTCCTCTGTTCAGATCCCTGCTGCTTCCTGCCTTCCCTCCAGTCCTGTGTTTCTCTCCTCTTGTCCTAGCAAAGAGAGAGCTGATAAAACTTCCTCAAACACTCAAGAGTACTTCTTAGGCAAGTCTAATGGGTTGTGATTGTGCAACGTCAGCTCCTTCTTTCAGCTGAACACACCACCCACATATATGAGTGAATGCAGTTTCTACAGAATTCCTCATCCTTCACTCATAGAGTGCAAGCACTGGTCTCTGACTCCAGTTTTGAATCTCTGGAGCCAGGAAGTCTCCCTATTGATCAAAGTAAAAAATACTCTAAAATGAGACTGTTCTTTTCAGATCTTGCTCAGCTCCCAACTAGAGAGTTGTTTAAGGGTGTTGAGAGTACATCATGGCAGTCTCCAATATGAAAAGGGTACAAACTTACCTATTTTAGGATGTGTGAACAGACTAGAAAAGTGCTCATGACCATGGGGCCTGGGACACCTAAGAACTGATTTGGTGACCCAGTAAGCTTCTTTGAGCAAGAGCTGGCCCTTCTAGTTCAGCCCTCAGGACTTCTTGATCTCAGTACCCCTCCCATTACCTTGGATGCTGTGACAGCTTCGTTCTGCAGCTCACAGACCTGTCTGTATTGGGGTGATCACCAGTACTGCAGCAGAGCCTTGCAGAAAGCCCTTGCCAAATGACAGGGGCAGGACCATTCATGCCTTGGGGAAACAGTAGCCAAACTCGGGCATGTAGCCCTCCAAGTAAGAAGCTCTGCTGAGAGCAAAAAACAAAGTTTTCTCACACTACACTTACTTTTTTTATTTTTTCCCCTCTGTCATACAGACACTATATTAATGAGCATGAGTTTTGCAGTTCTCTGTACTGAAATTATAAACTGTTATTTTCTGGAACTGGAAAAAAGCAAGGGAAGCATCAGTCCACAGCACGGTTGGTTTTTTGTGTTGGTTTTTAGTTGTTTTTGTTTGTTGGTTTGTTTGTTCATTTTGGTTTTGTTTTAATGTTAGTCCCTCCAGCAGTCAGCAGTTTTTCTCCTGACTTCTCCCTGTAGTGCTAAACACTCCTGAAGGATACAAAAGGTGACAAGTACACAACAGTGCCAAATTTCTGAGGCAGTCAGGGAGGATGAATCAAGAGAGAAAGAGGGTCCATCTGGAACTGGGAGCAATTTTATGAAGCTGGCTCAGGGCAGCTTCAGCTCTCTTTAGGCTCTCAGTCTCTGTCCAGCAGAGCAAAAATCCCTTCCACAGTACCCTGCCCAAGCCCTGGTTTCCCCATCTGACGTATCTCATCATGTCACGACATCGCTCTGCATGAGCAACCAAACTGCAGTGTCATTATGAAGTGTGATGTCTATCTCTGACTGGGTATACTTTAATAATTTAAGGGTGATAAAGGTTCTCTGCCCCAGTCTCTCCCATCTCCTAAGATGAGGTACCCTGATGACTTAGGCAAGTGGAAAGCTCTCAGTGAAACAGATTACTATTTATATGACTTTCCCAGGGCTATCTCATTAGAAGTTCAAACCTAGCAAGGAACCATTCCCTGAAATGCATTTTCAGCTTAATATATAATATTTCCTGCTCCAGTGAGGCTTGATTGAAATCCTCACAAAGTCAGTGGAAAAGCTTCCACTTAGTGTGGTGGACTTTGATTAAGCTTATAGTGACAGAGTTTGAATTTCAAGGCCATGATGAAAACCTTATCCATCATATTTATATATCTGTTTCTCTCTAAAGACCTTGTTCTTGAGATAGAACTTTAAACTTGCCTGAAGCTGTCAGCTGTACCAGTGAAAAAACAGAGCCCGTGCTGATTTCATCCATGGAGAATCTAAAAAGTGACACAAAATCTAAATTCTCACTTCTTTGACCCCATTGTCCCACAATAGCTGCCTTAGCAGTAATGTGGCTGACTTCAGGTTGCTTTACTTTTCTGAAATACAAAGTTAAGGTGGCAAAGGAATAAACTGTGAACAGATAACCACCTTCACAAATTCCACTTACAAGCTACACGTCCTGCTCCTGAAAATTGTATCACTACGCACTGCTGGCATGTTTGGGGAAAGTCAGAACTGCCCTACTACATTCTTCTTTATACAAATCCCCTTAAGGCCTTTGTTAGGATCTTTTCTGTAGTGGTTCTTTGATTCTTGTCACATCTAGGACTTACTCAGATTCATACCTCTCATTGCTTTCGGGGGGAAATACTCTTTTTAGCCCCATACTGCTTTGCATCTTCATCATCACCGGAAACAAATCAGTATCTTGGAGAGAGAAGGAGTACCTGCAGTGATGTTTCTTCAGTGTCTCTTTTGTAGGTGTCTTTCATCACCTATGCTAACGACTCCTTGCTCATGTTTCCTTTTCCTGTTCACCCTTGCAGGGCTGGAATCTGGTCACATCCCTGGTTCTGTGAACATACCCTTCCACTCATTCCTAACAGAAGCTGGCCACGAGAAGAGTATTGAGGAGATCCAACAAATATTCCGTGAGAAGAATGTGGATCTCTCCAAACCACTTGCAGCCACGTGCCGCAAAGGTGTCACGGCATGTCACATTGCCTTGGCAGCCTACCTGTGTGGCAAGCGTGACGTGGCTATTTATGATGGTTCCTGGTCAGAGTGGTTCCACCGTGCCCCAGCTCGCTACAAGGTCTCTGAGTTGAAGCGCAACAAGGCCTAGAGGAAGAGTTGTTTCTTGGCCAAGGAGACCTCACAGCTGCCTCCAGAGCAGGGTACAAGGGAAAGGAGGACATGGAAGTGAAAAAAAAAATCATGTTGATCAATAGTTTGCCTTTCTTTTCTAAGAATCACCAGTAGGTTTCTATCCACCTTTCGGTTTCTCACAGCAAATAAAATCTACTTCTAAGATGATATGTCTGTGAATATTTCTAATTCTTCTCTGTTGCCCGTGACTTGCTTGTTCTGGGTGGGAAAAGTAGCTTTGCAACATGAAGGACAGTTGCACTCTTCCCTGGAATCTAAGTCTAGGGCTAAAATATAGCACTGGGTGCTGAACACAGGAGGACCAAGCTATGGTTCTGACATTGACTTAATGTAAGACCTTTTTCCAGCCCACCATCTCTACTTTTTTGATGTTGAAAATGGAGGCACCTCCCCCTTCCTCTCTGATGGGGGTCATTGAGCTCATGTGAAGCATTTGGAGATACTAGGAGATCCAGTGCTGCTGAAATACAGTCTTGTTGATTTACTGCAACTATGTTACAGAAGTCTCAAAAAATTCCTATGTAGGTGATGAGAACATCTGGGCACAGATGTTTCATGAGACATGAGCCTTTTACTATCCTTTTTACTCTCCTTGTTCTTTCAATCAGCAAGGATGACCCTGCTCTCTACCATGCTTCCTCTGGTTCCCGTGGAGACCACAGCTCATAGATAGAGGGAGGGTTGTTCCCTAGCAACTGTACCATACCAGCTCCATACCTGGACTTCAGCAGGACCTGAACAAGCGACTGTGGCACCACATCAGTGATCATGGACCAGGTGAGAGAGGTAGTTATGGAAGAGTGCAAGAGGCTTTGTCTCATGTTTAATCCTGGATCTTTTCTTCTTGAAAAACAAGAAAAAAAAATTAAAATCCAGTGTCATTTTTACACACATGGAGCTTCTCAGGTCTGAAAAGTCACTGAAGTCTCATGTTTTGGAGGCCTAGCCAGAGGTGGTATGTGAAACCTTTGTTGTCCACGTGTTATGGCTGGTGAGCAAGACATACCAATTCCTACACCTGTCTGAGGAGGTTAATTTTTCCCCTGGGAAGACAGCTTCCTCTTTCCTCTATGGCTACATGTCAGGAAAGTCAGAGTATTAGGAAAGTAAACGTGTTTTTTGAGGTGGTTTTTTTCATTCAGAAAGAAAGATGAAATTTAATCACTCTTCGATCAAGATACATCTTTTCTGGTGCATCATCTGTTGTCCCTCCCAGAATTGGCTTTGCAAAGGAATAAGCAGACCGAGGTCTGTGGCTTCTTTTATCTAGGAGGATGGTAAAATGGCCTTAAAATCCTTCTTGACGTCAATATGTAGGAGTCTCAGAGTGCTGCTTTGACTTCAGACCTTCAGGCTCGGAAGTAAAATGAACAATAAGCAGCAACAATAACATCACATACAGCTACAAACTAGAAAGCAGGAACAGTTGCAGGCTTCAGTGTCCTTTTATCCAGGAGAAAATGGCAAAATGAAAGCTATCAATGAACAGGATTTGGGAAATGTGCACCTTGCCTCATTATGCAGAAATTCTGCTTCATTGGAAGAAATAGAAGAGAAGGAATTTCTACAACAGCAGGCTGGAAAGTTCTTTCCACTGAATGTAGTAATAATAACAAACAGACATATTCTTAAGTAAGAGGTGGAAACTAATACAGTTTATTTAGCAACACAGATCCCTGCCCTATGAGCTGGGACTGACTTCCTCTCATCAGCTCTTGTAGCCCTGTTCTGTGGGAGAGGTTCTGTATCTGAATCGTAGAATCATACGTCATACATCATTCCTTTTGGTTGGAAGAGGTCTTTAAGATCTTGCAGAGCACACAGCATTGACTCCTGGAGTCTGATTAATACAGTAACTTCAAGATCCCAGTGTTGTACCAGACATGCTGCTCCAAAGTACTGGCACAGAGTAGAACACAAGCTGCTGGTTCAAGTCAGCCCTCGTGAGTTACCTCTGGAGTGGAAGGCTTCCAGCCTCCTCAGCATCACCTCCTTTCCTCACTTTTTATGGCCTTATTTTATTGCACCAAAGGAAAGAGCTTTTGTAGTTGTACAACACATGACAGGTCTAACATCTCTAGGTGCTTCGGACTGAAAAAATGATGTTTTCTTTGAGTTTTTTTCCAGTTTGGCTTGTGTCAACAGCACTACCTGTGAGAACTCTTGCAGCTCAGTGTTCCACAGAGACACTGGCTGGCCATGTCCTAGGCAGGCTGTCCCATGTGAGTTGTTGATATGAAACCCTGCAGGACTTCTCTGCTTTGTAACTTGAGATGATCATGGGTTGTACTACCAGCCATGCAGGGAGGCAGGGGAAGCACTCTCTTTATCAGAAGGTGTATAATACATTTGTATGAGAATAACCTATCGTTGTCTAGAGATGAGCAGGACCACCGTGCCCTTCCTTCCCACCTCTGAGTCTGACACAGCCTTTGTTTCTCTTCCAAGGAAGTGCTAGACATTCCAACTTCCCCTTCCCCTGACGACTGTGACTATGTGCTGGCCAGAAGTGCTTCAGGTAAGCAAGATATCAGAGAAGCTGTTCCTCCTTTATAGCTTGCTCTGCAGTACAGCTTGTGAGGCTGCATGTCATTCCCTCCCTCCCATTCTGCATGTACCTCTGTGAAAGGAAACTACTCAGACAGATCCTATGTGCCATGGACTGATGGGCTAAGATCACTCCATGCCAAGCTTGTCTTCCTCCACTGGTGGACTTGTCTCACTACTCCCTGCACAAGCACAATGAGCCACTGATGTCCTCCGAATTCATCAGCAAATGCTGATGAGCCACAGAGACTACAACTGCATGTTCCTGAGAGTGAGAGTCATCATGGTTTGGAGGAGCCCCTACACATAAGAAACACAGACCTTTGTCTGTGTGTTTCACCACAAGATATTTACTTCTACGCTTCCTTGCATGTTCATCTCTTGCACTTCAAGAACCTTTGCCTGGTTCTGGAGGAATATGGGTATAACGTTGCTCAGTTGTTATTTGTTGTGGGTTGTTTTTTCTCTTTCCTTATTTGAGACCTTTACCATTTATTTTGTTGTCTGGTAATGGCTCAAGGACATGTCTGGTTGTTTTCAGCTTCATTTACAGTATCACCTGTTGTCAAAACAGTATCAAATTCATTGAGCTATTATTTTTGTCTTTAAGTTGAACCTGAGGAAGAGAAACAAGAGCTTCCTCTAGAAGGCTTATGTCCCAGCAGACAGGAAACATCCCAAAGGAACTCCAGCAGAGACGCCTGGGAGATCTCCAAGGACCCAGTGGCTGAGGCAAGACCAAAGAACTCCACATCTATTAAATCCCCAGTACCTCTTTCAGCAAAGTGTGGTCAGAATAAAAAACAGAGGAAAGAGAGTCTCCAGACCAAAACTCCCTCCACTGAGAGTCTTGATTCAGGAAGACTTGAAGAGGAAAGAGAAGATAGTGGGCATGAGCCAAGAGAGGGGAGCAACACCTACCGCCACTCTGCAATGTCCAGGCAGAGGGAAGCAGAGGGAACCAAATCCATATCAAGCACTAAAGAACCAGTAACAGGCAAGCACCAAAACCTGAAGTCTAGAGGACCTGAATCTTCCAGCAAGACCATCAAAGCCAGCTATGAAAAAGTCAAGGAGACCTGCAACAGATTAAGTCCTAAAGAGTCTTTAGCATCATTAGGGCCAGATGGGAAAGCAGAATGGAAGCTCCCTCTGGAGAACAGAAAGAGAACGAGCTCCATCTCTGATAGTAGCAAATATAAATCTGCCAGTGCAGATGAACTTACCAGGGAAGACAAGGTATTGGAAGAAGCTGTTTCATGTATCCTTTGTGGCTGGTTGAAGGCTGTTTTTATAGTTTAGCAGGAGGCTAAGTGGGTGGGATATTAGCAGTATATTAGCAGTTTATAGAAGACATTTAGGGGGATGGGTTTGGGCTTCACCCTATGGGGTGGTGACACATTCCACAGAAAGCCTTTCCCATGTCTTTTTTATTTTCTTTTTCCACCTCTCTTCCATTTATAAGGTTCCTGTAGCCAGGCAGAGTCCCAGCTCAGCAAGGCAAAACTGTGGCACCAGGACTGAGTCCAGGTCCCAACACTATCATCCCTTCCTAATTCCCTTCCCTTTTCATCAGTCCTATTCATCCCATGCAATTACAATGCCTACAGAAGCCTCTGAGGGAGACTCAAGGACAGACCCAGGTCCCAGGGATTAGTCATAACTCAAAGACCTATGTGGGGGTGGAAATAGGAGGCATTTGCTTTCACTTAAGGAATGTGGACTCAGAGTGGTTCCTTGTTCTTTGGGTTTTCAGGAACGTCGAGCTCTGTGCGAGGCCGCATTAATCATGGGACAGAAGAGAATCGGCGACCGTACTAAAATGCTGAAAAACCCCTTGGACTCTCCTCCATCTTTTGCTGATTACAACCATCTGGGTTTTAACCTGAGATCAAATATATTCCAAGGTGAGTGGATACCCGTACTTATGTCTGATCTTCAAAGCTGGTTCCATCTACACTTTGCTTGGGCTCAAGGCTCAATTGCTTTGAGTAGAGCATCTGACTGTAGGTGAGCCACATTGCTTTGAGTAGAGCATCTGACTGTAGGTGACCCTCACTTTCCCCTCTTATTCCTTCAATCCAGTCACTGCTTTTCCAGGCTGTGGTGCTTGAAAAAATGAAAGCTAGAGCCTTCCTTTCTATGTGTTCTATGTAGTCCTTTCTTTCTATTTTTTTTTCCAAGATGTGAGAAGTGGAGGTGGATCATGACCCCTGTCCTTCACATTCAGAGCTGTCCAAATGAACACCATTTGCAGTTCAAAGTCCCCTGTCATCTCCAGTCCCAAGTTACCTCCAGGGCCATTAATGATGCTGTTTCTCTTCAAGACCTTTAGAGATGTGTGGCTCTGCAATGTCTTCCCCAATCCTCTGTTCCCAAGGTCCCCAGGGATCCCTCCATCTGAACTTAAATTGGGAACTCTCTGTTCATCCTCTCCTTGTTACCTTGTTACCATATCCAAGAAACTCTGAAACAGTTGTCTCTGATTCTGGTTTCTTATGTATCAGCATGAGACAGATTCCTTTTTCTTCCACATTATGTTCCATGACAAGGCTTTGCTGGGTTGCCAAGACTGCATTGGCCTGGATTTGTTCAGTCATACAGGAAGGAAGGACATCTTTCCCCAGGGAGCTCAGCACCATTATTATCAAGGAAAGGGTACAATAAAAAGGAAGGTGAAGAGGAAAGGATAACAGATTAAAATAACCCCCGCTGAAATGGCTAAAAGTCAAGAGGGGATAAAAAGAGAAGTCACAGTTGGGAACTATTTGCTAAGCATCCTGGCAGAAAAGGAGCTGAGAAGGCCTGGAGTGGTAATATGGTGCTTTTTGTGGAGCTGTGCTGCTGAATAGGAAGTTACTCACATGACTGAGGGGATTCAACAGGAGATAAGTGGGCACTTGACGAAAGAAAGGGCACTAGGATACAAGTAAAGATGAGAGCTTGTGACACCCTCTGTGTGTGTCTCACGCTTGAAGATAAAAAGCAGATAATTTGTCAACCACAATCTCCCTCCTGGGTGGTGAGGAAGCTATTATTCAGCACCTGGCCACACACCCAATCAAAGGTGTTGCAGTCAATACACGCCTTTTCCTGAGCTCTGGAAAGTGTTGGTGTTGCTCCCCTGCTCAATTTCAGGACTGCAGTAGGGTGATTTCTGTGTACAGTTCCTTATTTGCTGTTTCTTGCAGGTGGCCCACTGAAGAGCCAAAGCTTGATGAAAGATTCCTACACCCCTGAAATAATTAAGAAGGCAATCAGGGACCCCAAGAATTGGCATGGAAGGAGAACTGATGAGCTAGGTATGGCTTCTGTCAGGAAAACTACCTTGCTGAATTCCTGAGATGCGTGATCTCTCTGCCTGAGATGGGTGATGGCTTCTGCCAAGGACAATGGATGGGTTTGGGCTAAGGTGTGGGGGCTCTACAAATTGACATTTTCACAAGTTAGGAGCTTTACAGCTAGAAAAATCCTTTAGTGTTAATAGCTTGAGAAGGGAGGCTGTAACTGAACTATGATTTGCCTTCTTACAGGGGAATGGTATAAGAAACATGCACTAGATCTTAACGTACAGAAAGCATTGGAGGATAAATATGGAAAGAAGAAAAGCAAACCTTAGAAGGTGAAGGTAGAGGACTGATCTACATTCAGAGAAGTATCTTCTTCCTCAGCCTTTTAATAAACCTCTCTAAAAGTATGAACCCATTGCTTGCTAGTTGTAAACAGCAGGTTTGGTGCTGGTGCTCTCTTTCCCTCTCAGTTAGGGTGTCTTTGGGGAGAGCAGTGCAAGGTAAACCTAAATGTGAATACCAAAAGGATCACTTAGTTGGTGACTGGTAAGGTGAGCCTGACTAGTGTGTGAGGCACATGCTCTTGCTGAGGGATGTGGTGGTCAGAGGAAGCCACGTAGAAATTCATCTGCTCAGCACGTAAGGTGAAGTAGGACCTGTGGGCTGTCTGTGTGCAAGCTCATATTTGCCAGAAGGTTAATGATACTTTGACAGCTGTCCCAGCAGTCCAGAGAGAAGTACAGGAGATGTGCTGGGAATGAGCCAGGGTTGCCGGAGGACCTGGATGCTGCCTACCTCTCCCCACACTGAAAGGCTGTAAAACTCCCACACAGAGAAGCTTCAGAGCGGTACGTACATAGCAGCTAGACACACCAAGCAAAGAACCAGCTCCCTATTGGTGCTTCTGAGGTCAACTCAGGCTTTCTTGCTAGAAAGGCAACAAATGGTATCCACTGTATAATATGGGCACAACTCTGTGTGATTGGCACCAGATGCCTACATGGGGAAGGAAAGGAGGGTTCTCTGCCCACCACTCTAGCTCTGTTCTTGTATCTGCCACATGGAGCATTTCAGGGAAAGCCCTGGCCCTGGGAGGCAGCAGCAGTAATATATGAAAACAAACAGAAACTCACCTGAGAAGAGGAGGCATCAATCAGGGTACTCATTAATGCCCACACTGTTTGCAGGCCAAGCCAATACAAAAAAACCCTCAGCTTATTCCACCTAAAGGGAATGGGAGATCTGCAAGAAGCCCCAGGACTTCTCCAATCTACAAATAACCCCACAATGTGAATGGATCCTTACTGAAGCTCTCAAGCCCTACTCACCCCTGACAGACCTTCACCTAACTCAAATGTCTTTCAGAAGCACATGCGTCCACCCCACAGTCTGCACAATCTGAAGTTCAGAGTGTGCATCTGGACAGTAACCAGGAGCCAGTCAAGGGCTTGAATGATGCAGGATATGCAGGGTCTTTAGGGCTTCCCAATGTTATTTTCCCACAGTATTCAATGCCCCTTATTGCAGGATCCTGCCTCCCAGCTCTAAAGTGTAGCAGTTTGGTGCAACAATCGTAAAGCATGTGCCTGGGAATAGTGATGCCTTGATCTTTCCTGTCTGGTTCCAGGCTTGCACTGTTTCAAAAGACTGACACTTTGCTCCTTGATATGAACTGTTTTGGAGCAGAATTAGGGTCATACTTCACCTTTCATCAGCTGGAGATTAGATAACAATATGCTGACTTCATAAAAGTAGTGAAGGAGGTTAAAAATTAACTAATGATAATTTTCCACAACCAGTAATTAAACATTTGGAATTCAGATGTTTCCAGGCATGTGTCCAGGTCTTTCAAATTAAGGAGACAGGCCAAATGGCAGTTTGTAGAAACCTCCCTGTGTGTTTTCCCACTAAACCAGTACCAAGGGGCCCCAGACTGAGCACACACCACTCTCTGGCTTCAGCTGAACAGCACAGCTCTGCCTGAACACCCTCTTCTTGCTGTTGTGTCCAGCACTGGTGACCACCATGACTCCAAGTACACAATAAATGCTGTCTTCTGAGACTGCAGCAAGTCCTAATCCAAAAAACACGGAGCTGAACAGAATTGTAATGACCCTGGTGTACTGAAAGCAGGCAGTTCTGAGTACATTTAGCTAATATACACACAAAGCACAACGTGGGCTGAATCAGAATACAGATTTACAGATCTATTTCTAATGTCTGTTATAAATAGAAATAAAGGCAGGCAGATGGCAGGATTATGGTACAGCTTGGAACAAATGCCCTTTCCTACCTGTGAAAGGCTCATGAAGAGACTAGATTAGAAGGTAAATGGACTGATTTTTGGTCTTGTTGGTGCACCACTATACTCTGCTGCAAACTGTGTTGTTTGTGTTGAAAAAAAAAATTCTGAGCTTCCAAACCCCCTTGCTTTCTAACACTCCTCACCACAGTGGGAGGCTGGTGCGGCTGAGTAAGGATTCTGAGATCAAGACCCCATAACAACAAACAAGCTGTTATTGAGCAAGCTGTCTTTATTGCAGCACTGGGCAGCACTGGGGATTCTCCACCGTGAGTGCTGCAACGAGTCAATGAAACACATCAACTAATATACGCCAAGAACATGCATATTCAGTTCCACGTCAATGAGTCCCCAGAATTCTTTTACATAGTCATTTTATTTCCTGGAATTGGCTATCTTTGTAATTATGCATGCTCGAAGGTCTCCTGTGGGGGTCTTTGTTGATTCTAGTCTTTGTCTATGTCCTGGTTTTTCATCCTGGTCCTGTCTCCAGTCTCCCGCTGGTAGATTGCCCAGGTGGGTCAGAGTCCACATGAGTGTTGTCTGTAGGGCCACCGGGTCTTATAAGACTTGATGTTATCATAACCTACAGGATGGTTGGCATAGTTGACTGATAGTTTCACAGAGCACCCTGTTTTAAAAGCAACCCTCTTAGTATAGCAAATTCATTATTTTAGTAAACTTTTATTAGGCTATATTTCTATTGAATTTACTAATGAATATCCTATGATGTATCTGTCCTGCAGTGAAGTCACTTTGTACACTTTTTACAAACAGAAATATTTTTGTAAGCACTTAAATGGTACAAAATAGTTGGCATTTTTTATTGCACTCAAATGGGTGACAGCTCTTTGATGCCCAACGAGGTACATGTGGCCCTCTCCCTTCATTCTTCTCTGCTTTGCCAAGGGTTCCAGCTCAGCCAGGGCCAAAGACTTTCTGATGGATGACAGGTTGAAAGATGTAGGGATAACTCAGATATCTTTCAGTAAGACAGCACAGCTACTGGGAGTAGTCCGTACCTGAGGCCTCTGAGTCCTGAGCAGTATAATTTAGCCAGAACTTTGGCAAGGAGCATTATCTTGTGTTGACAAGAGTGCTTCAGGTACCCAAATGTGTATATTTAAAGCCAGCTTTGGAATCTCTCAAGTAGCATGTCAGATAAAGTTAGCCAAGAACTGGGCTGAAATAAGTGCTCACTGCAGCTGAAGTCTCCCCTCTACCCATTCCTTGGACCTCAGCAGTTCATTCCTTCTTGCTTGTTTTGTGCTGGTGCTGACACTTCCCTGGCCACACTCTGAACTGGTTCACCTTGATAAACCACTGGAAAATCAATACAGAAAAAGAAGAAGCTAAGTTATCAGGTTAACAAATTTTCTAAGCAAAGGACCTTGTTGCAGGCAAGGTAAGGAGGGACGGGGTGTGCAGATGTTGGGGAAGAGGAGTGGAAAGGGGGAAAGTGCAGGGGGAAATGCTCTTTCACTGCTTTTTTTTGTACAATGAGAAATTAGTTGGCCTCCTGTATATTGTCTCATAATACAGGTTGCCTGTATTAAGTGATTTTACAAGGTCTGACCATTGGGTGGCAGCTCTGAGCCAATGTTTTTATCTGACAGGGTAGAACTTGGGGGAAAAAAAAACACCAAAAAACGGTTCTTTCATTTAGCTAAACCATTAGCAGAAATAGCTGTCTAAAAGCTGATTCTGTCATCTATAAACACGCAATGCACTTGAAAAATAGATAATCATACTTGATATAAAAGAGAGCAACCACATCCAAGCTCCTGCAGCACTCCCTTCATACTTTCTAGTATTTCTTGCAGAAATAGGTATTTCCCAGTTTAGGTTTATGCATCCCTGCAGTCAATGAACAGATTATTCTGCAGGATATAACTTTTAATAAAGATTTCCTGCTCTCCAGCCAATCTTTTTTTTTTCTTTTTTTTTTCTTTTTTTTCAATTAACCCCCTGACTCTTATCCACTTGGTGTTATCCTGAACAATTCCAACCTTTGGTATCTCCACTGCAAATGATTTGGAAAGGCTCATTAAAGAAATGGTAACAACTGTAAGAACAGAAGATAATCACCCTTATCAGAGTCTACAGCCTCCTGTTAAAATCAATCCTTTATGCTGTTAAGCTTGCACTGAAAAACTTAAATTCAGAGCTACATCTATCCTGAGGTAAGCCCAGTATTCCTAAAAGAATGGAGTACTTACTGCTGATCCTGCCTATAATGGGATAAAAGAGAAATCCAGCACTGCTTGAAATGGCTGGAGTTCACAACAAAGAGGGAGCAAGTGAATTGACTTCAGTGGCTTTCACTCCTGTGCACTGGGGCTGAAATACAACTGTGTCTGAAGTTTGAAGGCATTTAAAATACTATTATCCATCCAGATATGATGGTGATTTGAAGGTTAGGAATTACCTGTGGTGTTCCCCTTAGTAGTGGTAAAGAAGCCATGGAGCAAGAAAGTAAAAAAACTCAAAGGACAAAACCCAAATACTATTTTCCTCAGGGTTCTCTTTGGGTTTTGTTTGCCACAGACTCCTCTCTAAGGATCTGAAATGCTGAGGTGGCAGTGTGGGACTGCAGACAGAACCAAGGCTTCATGGGCTGAAGGTGCAGAGAGCAACAGCCCAGTCTCAGAAGTGACATCACCACACTTGGAAACAGTAGGAGAGGTTTAAGAGGAACATCTCCCTACAGACAGACAGTGAGCTCTCAGCTCTGGGCAAAACAGGGGTCTGGGCTACGATGCCAGAAGAAGCTTTCAGGTTGCACTGCTGGTCTTAGTAAACAGCCCCACTGGTGTTTATGCTGAGTTGCCATTTTATCCCTTTTATTAAAATTCCTTTTCTTTTAAACCCTTGGTTCATTGCTCTTGAGCAGGAAAACTGATTATCCAAGCTCATTATGTGCCCAGGCATAATAATTTTCTTCTCTTCTCTTCTAACCTGAGAGCCTTGAACTGAAATTGATTAGCTATTTTTAGAAAGGAGCTCTAGCTAAATCTGGCTTCTTCC